GTCAAGAGATCGAGACCATCCTGGTCAACATGGTGAAACCCTGTCTCTACTAAAAATACAAAAAATTAGCTGAGCATGGTGGTGCGTGCCTGTAATCCCAGCTAATCAGGAGGCTGAGGCGGGAGAATTGCTTGAACCCAGGAGGTGGAGGTTGCGGTGAGCAGAGATCGCGCCATTGCACTCCAGCCTGGGTAACAAGAGCGAAACTCTGTCTCAAAAAAAAAAAAAAAAAAGAAGATATAAAATAAAACTTCAAAGCTGAATATTTTTTATTTCCAAGTATTTAAATGTTCTAACAGATCAAAACATGAAATGCCCTCCTAAATGTCAGCTGTTTTCACACAGTAGCTCTAACACTTTGAGCATTTTTAAGGGAGTTGCCTCATTTCACTAGAGACAAATCTTTAAGAATAGTTTTAAAATTAGGCTTGTGATTTCCGTTTCTGATGTCTCCACATTGGCACCCCTTTCTATTTCAATGCCTCATGAGATTTACCAGGGGCATCCAAAGCAAACAATCTCAATCTTTCTACATAAAATGTATTGAAGCAAACATCAAATAAATTTCTGGGATATTAAAAAAAAATCAGGTAAAAAATAATATACACAAGATATGGCATAACCAAAATTGGGGTCATATTTACAGATAAACAAACACATATATAATATGATTGTGATAGACATATGTTGATTTATGTCTTAATTAAATCCCACATTGACTTAGAGTGTACAGAAGTGAAAATTGTCTAAGGCCGGGCGTGGTGGCTCACATCTGTAATCCCAGCACTTTGGGAGGCCAAGGCGGGTGGATCACTTGAGGTCAGGAGTTCGAGACTAGCCTGGCCAGCATGGTGAAATCCTGTATCTACTAAAATGAATAAATAAATAAATGAAATTAGCTGGGTGTGATGGCACATGCCTGTAGTCCCAACTACTTGGGAGGCTGAGGCAGGAGAATGGCTTGAACCCGGAAGGTGGAGGTTGCAGTGAGCCAAGATCGTGTCATTGTACTCCAGCCTGGGCAACAGAGCAAGACTGTCTCAAAAAAAGAAAAGAAAAGAAAATTGTCTGGAAATTATAATACATATGTAAAACCAAAAAACACAATAAACTGATGTAAGAAACCTACACTAAAAATATGAAGCTGGAAAACAATAATACGAGAAATGTTTACTCATAATATCTAGTTTGCAAGGCCAGGCATGGTGGCTCATGCCTGTAATACAAATACTTCAGGAGGCCGAGGCAGGCGAAATATCTGAGGTCAGGACTTCAAGACCAGCTTGGCCAATATGATGAAACCCCGTCTCTATTAAAAATATAAAAATTAGCTGAGAGTGGTAGCACGCACCTATAATCCCAACTACTCAGGAGGCTGAGACAGGAAAATTGCTTGAACCCAGGAGTTGGAGGTTGAAGTGAGCCCAGATTGTGCCATTGCACTCCATACTGGGCAAAAAGAGCAACATTCTGTCTAAAAAAAAAAAAAAAAAAAAAAAAAAAAAAAAAAAAAAAAAAAATCTGGTATGCAAAATAGATGCACCATTAAAGAAGAATTTGTCTAGATACCTATATTTGACTGTAACTATGTACTTTTGAATCATTGGCATGAACTATACAAAAGTAAAGTTTTAGAGAAAATGCAATATAATCATAAATACAAGACTCTATTGAGAAACTTTTAATAAGCTTTTAAAATAAACTATAGGTAACATTTATATTTTAAATATATGCTATACTTACAAAAATAAAACTGCCATAATCCAACTTTAGAAGCAAAAAATAGCCTTACCTTACTAAATTATATATTATAATATATACACATATATATTGAAGAATATGGTTAGAGCCTCTGATATATAAAACAAATATCTGGGAATAAATTATATTATTTAGATATAGAATACAATACCTTTTTACCCACAGCAAAGTTAAATTTTTTTTTTACGATGGGGTTTCTTTTTTTTTTTTTTGAGACAGAGTTTCGCTCATTACCCAGGCTGGAGTGCAATAATGGTGCGATCTCGGCTCACCGCAACCTCCACCTCCTGGGTTCAGGCAATTCTCCTGCCTCAGCCTCCTGAGTAGCTGGGATTACAGGCACGCACCACCGTGCCCAGCTAATTTTTTGTAGTTTTAGTAGAGACGGGGTTTCACCATGTTGACCAGGATGGTCTTGATCTCTTGACCTCGTGATTCACCTGCCTTGGCCTCCCAAAGTGCTGGGATTACAGGCGTGAGCCACCGTGCCCGGCTAAGATGGGGTTTCACCATGTTGGCCAGGTTGGTCTTGAACTCTTGACCTCAAGTGATCCACCTGCCTTGGCCTCCCAAAGTGCTGGGATTACAGGCGTGAGCCACTGTGCCCAGCCCAGCAAACTTAAATTTATAAGTTACTATATTAGTAAATATATAGTAATAATAATTACTAAATTAGTAAATATTATCTAATTTACTTCAGACATAACATGCAAATTCTCGTATAATTGTCCTAAATGTCTGATTCCAAAATTATAGACAAATTTGAAATAAAAAACAAACTGGGCCAGGCAGTGGCTCATGCCTGTAATCCCAGCACTGTGAGAGGCTGAGGTGGGTAATTTGAGGCTAGTTTCAGACCAACCTGACCAACGTGGCAAAAAATCCCATATCTACTTAAAATATAGAAAAACTAGCTAGGTTTGATGGTGGACAACTGTAACCTGAGCTATTTGGGAGGCTGAGGCAGAAGAATCATTTGAACCTGAGAAGTGGAGGTTGCAATGAGCTGAGATTGTGCCATTGCACTCCAGCCTGGCTGATAGAGCAAGACTCTGACTAAAGAAAAAAAAGAAAAAAGAAAAAAAAAATAGAAAAAAGAAACTATAAACTAAAAATGTGTGAGAGTGACATCAGTAAGATGGAAAAATAAAAGGTGCCCAGATGCCCTACTGGCTTACCCCCATAGAGAAAGAAAATTTGTCAGCCATCCCAGACAAAAATGCCTTTATGAGAGCCAGGCATCATGGCTCACAGCTATAATAACAACTACATGGTATATTGAGGTTGGAAAATTGCTTCAGGCTAGGATTTTAAGATCAGGCTGGGTTATGTAGCAAGATCTCATCTCAAAAATAACTGCCTTTGAAAGAGCTTTGAGATCCAGGGAGGTAGTTGTAAAACTCTCATAAAGCCCAAGATTAAGGAGTTTCTTTTTTTTTTTTTAGAATGCAAGCTCTCTTCAGGTGGCAAACTACGAGACCCCTGTTCTTAACTACAGACCAGAAAATGGACCACCCAACTAGGTCCCACAGAAAATTCTGAACTTACTCTGTAACCATCCCAAACTGCTTCCAGCCACTGTATGTGAGAGATCCTGTTTTTCAAAAGGCCTGGAGGAAGATACCAGCTTAGAGCCACGAAAGCCTTTACAATGACCCTGATGCAGTTCAGCGACTGTTCCAGCTCCCTGAGCCATGGTTTACCACCAGTTCTGCCTCCTAGAAACCCACACAGTTACCTGGAGAAATCTTCTCTAGGACTCAGTGAAAGCCATACTCATCCACATCCTGATATAAAGCCCACCATATGCAGACCTAACTACAAAAACCTGCCCTAGTGCCTGCCCTATAGAGCAAAGTCCTGAAGGATATTCACTCTGTCCAAAAATAAAATGGAAATTACAACTACCCAAGTCCCTTGTAACAAGCCAACTAAAAAGGTGGCCCGTAGTGCAGACCCAGCAGCCTTGTGATCAAGCTATGACCCCTCTTCCACTACAGGCCAGGAGCAGTGGCTCATGCCTCTAGTCCCAGCACTTTGGGAGGCGAGGCGGATAGATCACTTTAGGTTAGGAGTTTGAGACCAACATGTCAAAACCCTGTCTACTAAAAATTCAAAAATTAGCCAGGCATGGTAGTACATGCCTGTAATCCCAGCTACTCGGGAGGCTGAAGGAGGAGAATCACTTGAACCCGGGAGGTGGAGGTTGCAGTGAGATGAGATCATGCCAGTGCACTCCAGCCTGGGTGACATAGCAAGACTTTGTCTTAAAAAAAAAAAAAAAGCCATGTTATCCCAAGTGAGCTATAAATTTTATAAACTTTCTATCAAGTTCCTGTGGTATTTTTTTCACAGTAATGAAAAATATAAATCTAAAATATACATGAAACTAGAATAAACTTTGAACAAAGCAATCTTGAGGAAAAAGAACAAAGCAGAGAAACATGGTAATTCATAATTTCAAATTATTTAAAGACTATAGTAATAAAAACAGAATGAACTGTGCAGAAAATACACACAAAAATCCAATGGAACAGAAAGTACTACTCACACATTTCAGATGTGATGCAAAGAAAGAATTTAAAAGGCCGGGTGCAGTGGCTCACACCTGTAATCCCAGCACTTTGGGAGGCCGAGGCAGGTGGATCATGAGGTCAAGAGATCGAGACCATCCTGGTCAACATGGTGAAACCCCGTCTCTACTAAAAATACAAAAAATTAGCTGGGCATGGTGGTGTGTACCTGTAATCCCAGATACTCAGGAGGCTGAGGCAGGACAATTGCCTGAACCCAGGAGGTGGAGGTTGCGGTGAGCCGAGATCGCGCCATTGCACTCCAGCCTGGGTAACAAGAGCGAAACTCCATCTCAAAAAAAAAAAAAAAGAACTTAAAAAATAATTTAATACAGAGTTTCTCAAAAGTATGCAGATATTCGTGTGTCCCCAAAAAGAATGAAAAAGCAGTCAAATTGTGCAGTGTCTTAAATGTTATGAAGAGGAATTTGGCTCTCACAGTAAACTTGAAGGAAGATCACCAAAGGGAAATTAGAATCCTGAGACAATTTAAAAGCATCAGACAAAAGATAACCCTATGTGAAAGCAAAATGAAAAAACTCAGGCTTCCCAGAAACTGTTTCCTTTGGAACACAGCTTCTCAAGTCATATTTTAAGGACTGGCTTTCTTAACCTTTGCACTTCTCATCTGTGTTGTCTGTTGTGTTGACGTTCACTCTCACCTACCTGAGGATTTGGCAACCATCTCATGTCTCTTCATATTCCAAGGTTCTTTTTCTTGCTCCAGACAGGTGATCAGGTCTGGTTTAGAGACAGCAATACCTGTTTTAATAAAAAATAAATTACACGCATCTTGTTCATATTCTCCAATTATTAATCTAGTAATGTGTCCAGTATGAAGGGTATGAAAGAATATCCTAATAATTAATCCCAAAATATTAATTTTTATTTCTGGAGATGGAGTCTCAATCTGTCACCAAGGCTGGAGTCCAGAGGTGTGATCTCGGCTCACTGCAATCTCTGTCTCCTGGGTCCAAGCGATTCCAATGCCTCAGCCTCCAAAGTAGCTGGGATTACAGGCGTATGCCACTATGCCTGGTAAATTTCTGCATTTTTAGTAGAGACAGGGTTTTAGTAGAGGCAGGAATTACAAGCACCTGCTACCACACCAGGTTACTTTTTTTTTTGTATTTTTATTAGAGACAGGTTTTTTACCATGTTGGCCAGGCTGGTCTTGAACTCCTAACCTCAGGGTGATGTGCTTGCCTTGGCCTTCCAAAGCGCTGGGTTATAGGCATGAGCCACCATACCTGGCCCCAAAATACTAATTTTTCTTTCTTGCTTTCATTCATTCATTCTTTTTTTTTTTGAGACAGAGTCTTGCTCTGTTGCCCAGGCTAGAGTGAAATGGTGTGATCCCAGATCATTACAACCTCTGTCTCCCGAGTTGAAGCGATTCTTCTGCCTCAGCCTCCCAAGTAGCTGGGATTACAGGTGCCTGCCACCACACCCAGCTAATTTTTGTGGTTTTAGTTGAGACAGGATTTCACTATCTTGGCCAGGCTGGTCTCAAACTCCTGACTTCATGATCCACCCGCTGTGGCCTCCCAAAGTGCTGGGATTACAGGTGCGTTCCAACATGCCCAGCCTAATTTTTAACAAAAATTTATTTTATTTTTAGATGGAGTCTTGCTCTGTTGCCCAGAATGGAGTGCAGTGGTGCAGTCACAGCTCACTGCAACCTCCGCCTCCCAGGTTCAAGCCATTCTCCTGCTTCAGCCTCCTGAGTAGCTGGAATTACAGGTGTGCACCATCACGCCTGGCTAATTTTTATATTTTTAGTAGAGACAGGGTTTCACCATCCTGGCCAGTCTGGTCTCAAACTCCTGGCCTTGTGATCCACCCACCTTGGCCTCCCAAAATGCTGGGATTACAGGCGTGTTCCACCATGCCTGGCCTAATTTTTAACATAAATTTCTTTTCTTTGAGACGGAGTCTTCCTCTGTTGCCCAGGATGGAGTGCAGTGGTGCGATCTAGGCTCACTGCAACCTCCGCCTCCCAGATTCAAGCCATTATCCTGCCTCAGCCTCCTGAGTAGCTGGGTTTACAGGCATGCACCATCACGCCTGGCTAATTTTTCTATTTTTAGTAGAGACGGGATTTTGCCATGTTGGTCAGGCTGGTCTTGAACTCCTGATGTCAGGTGATCTGCCTGCCTCGGCCTCCCAGAGTGCTGGGATTATAGGAGTGAGCCACCATGCCTGGCCTTTAACAAACATTTCCAAATATTTAGAAAATATCTTATTTTGTAACTTCTTAATTTCACTACCTGATAATACTGAATCAAAAATTAGGTTGGCCATTAGATTTTAAGTCGTGGGAAATAATATTTTATGACACTTTATTTCTGGAATTACCACTAATCCAGAGTGAAAGACACAGATTAGCTCAGAAATGTAAAAATGTGATGAAACATCTTGAAAAAATTCTTTGGTCCACCAAAAAAATCTCCAAGATTTTTCTGAAAACAAGAAATCTGAAACTCATCAATGCAATGCACAAATTACCAAAAAACATTCTACAAAAAAGAAAAATGAAATATTTAGGGTATATTAGGAATTGTATATTGAAGTTATGCTCACCCAGGAAGACCAGGTTTCTGTAGTTCTCTAACATCACATTCCTATATAAATTCTGCTGTGCAGTGTCCAGGCATTGCCACTCCTCCAGACAGAATTCTATGGCCACATCCATAAATGTCAATGGTCCCTAAAAAATACACATACACACATACACATTTATCAAGTGGCCATGGGAGAATTTGTAATTTGACTGAAGGTAAAATGAGAGAGTAAAGAGAAGAGGTTCTGACTTATAGACAAATTATTCAATAAAATAATTCTTTACGTGAAAATACTCTCTATTTTTTTTTTAGATGCAGTTTTGCTCTTGTTGCGCAAGCTGGAGTGCAATGGCACGATCTTGGCTCACCACAACCTCCACCTCCTGGATTCAATCGATTCTCCTGCCTCAGCTTCCCGAGTAGCTGGGATTACAGGCATGCACTATCACGTCTAGCTAATTTTGTATTTTTTAGTAGAGACGGGGTTTCTCCATGTTGGGCAGGCTAGTCTCCAACTCCCGACCTCAGGTGATCCACTTAACTCAGCCTCCCAAAGTGTTGGGATTATAGGCATGAGGCACCGTGCCCAGCCCTTAATGTATTTTCTACTCCCGAGAAAAGAAAATGGCATAAGTTCTACAACAGTGTACATATTGTACTCTTCCATATTTTTCTGGATGATAAACTATAAAATTAAGGGCATAAACAAATGTGAATTTTTTTTTTTTTTGAGATGGAGTTTCGCTCCTTACCCAGGCTGGAGTGCAATGGCGCGATCTCGGCTCACCGCAACCTCCACTTCCTTGGTTCAGACAATTCTCCTGCCTCAGCCTCCTGAGTGGCTGGGATTACAGGCACGTGCCACCATGCCCAGCTAATTTTTTGTATTTTTAGTAGAGACGGGGTTTCACCATGTTGACCAGGATGGTCTCGATCTCTTGACCTCATGATCCACCCACCTCGGCCTCCCAAAGTGCTGGGATTACAGGCTTGAGCCACCGTGCCCAGCCAAATGTGAATTTTTGAGTTCTCTATTTGCATCATAGAGAATGAGCTGCATATATTTTTCAGATAAATCCAGTAAGTGGAAAATGCTGTGGTTTTTCTAGTTTTTCTGACCTGTAAACAAAGAGCTTTCATTTTCAAAAGACAGATAAATGCAAATAAAACCTAAGAAAGAAGAGCAGTTGCCAGATTAAATGTGATGGTTTACACACATTAGATGCATAAAGATTCTTAATGATAAGGCCAGGTATGGTGGTTCATGCCTGTAATCTCAGCACTTTGGGAGGCTGAGGCAGGTGGATCACCTGAGATCAGGAATTTGAGACCAGTCTGGCCAAAATGGAGAAACTCCATCTCTACTAAAAATACAAGAATTAGCCGGGCATGGTGGCACATCCCTGTAGTCCCAGGAGGGACTTGGGAGGCTGAGGCAGGAGAACCATTTGATCCCAAGAGCGGAGGTTGCAGTAAGCTAAGATCATGCCATTATATTCCAGCCTGGGTGACAGAGATTCTATCTCAGAAAAAAAAAAAAGTTCTTAATAATAAAAAAAATATAACTAATTAACTAACTATATAGGGAAACAGTCTATCAGTGAGCCCTTTAATCAAGTGAATAATTAACATAAACTGCACTAGAACAATTTTTTTTTTTTTGAGACGGAGTCTTGCTCTGTTGTCCAGTCTGGAGTGCAGTGGCGCATCTCAGTTAGCTGCAACCTCCACCTCCCATGTTCAAGTGATTCTCCTGCCTCAGTCTCCCAAGTAGCTGGGACTACAGAAGCCTGCCACCACGCCCTTCAAATTTTTGGCATTTTCAGTTAGAGATGGAGTTTCATGATTTTAACTAGGATGGTCTCAATCTCCTTACCTTGTGATCTGCCCACCTCAGCCTCCCAAAGTGCTGAGACTATAGGCATGAGCCATTGTGCCTGGACTAGAGCAAATTTTTTAAATGTGCTGATGCATGCAGGAAGACACAGCATCACTTCTGTGATAATGCCCCCAAAAAGTAAATTATAATCTAAATTTAACCACAAGGAAATATCAGTTTTATGCAAAGTTCAAGATAAAGATATCTCTCACATTCTGTCATTTTTTTCTTTTCCTTTGAGATGGAGTTTCCCTCTTGTTGCCCAGGCTGGTGTGGAATGATGTGGATCTTGGCTCACTGCAACCTCTGCCTCCTGGGTTCAAGCAATTCTCCTGCCTCAGCCTCCCAAGTAACTGGGATTACAGGCATGTGCCACCACACCTGGCTAATATTTTTGAATTTTTAGTAGAGATGGAGTTTCACCATGTTGGTCAGGCTGGTCTCGAACTCCTGACCTCCAGTAATCCACCCACCTTGGCCCCCCAAGTGCTGGGATAACTGGTGTGAGCCACTGCACCCACCTATAAGTTTTAATAGTAATTTTTAGCAGTCTATCTTTAGCACCCTAGATAGCAAATATAACCTGATGTTTTTCAGAACTTTCTTGTTTATAAATGCCTTCTTGTTTAAATAAGCATCTTTTGAATCCTGTTCTGCATTGAGCAAATAAAAAACACAGACTGAACCTCAACATTACACGTTCTCCATTTTTAGTAAGAACTCCAGCTTCTCCCCAATAGCAATCTTGAGTATTTACACCTTTTCATGTTCAACAGCCACAAAAGGATCATTTTTAATATTGCAGTTTATAAATTCATGGTGAGTATTCTGCACGGCATACAAGCCCTGATGTAGAGAATGTAGAGAAGGCTCTGGTATATAGAAAAGAAATATTTGGCAGAGATCCTTGACTATCATAAAAATTTAGAAAGCAGTGAAACTCACTGGGGAGAAAAACCGCGAGTAGAGAAGTAAAGGTTTGCAGTACTAAACACACGGCACTCCAGGAAGCAGAGTGGACACAGCTCTTGATCTGAGACGTGTTTAGTTGAAAAAAAAAAAAAAAAAAAAGCCATTTTTTCTCTATCTCCTTCTCTGGGAATCTTTCCCAGATGAGAATTTTCTGGACAAACTACACTTGCATCTTGTGAATATGGCTTTCAAGCTGTCAGCACCACATGTTTACCTGCTACCACCACACTCATAGGCAGAAGGACCAAGACCTGCAGAAAAAGTTCACCTATTTTTGTCCTTTATAACAGAACAGATTTAGTAAGAATGAAGTGTTCCATGCAGACACTAGTATGAGTTTCACCCTTCCTATTCTCAGGAGCCCTCCTCTGCCATGGACACCAGCAATTTTTGCTACAGTAATGGAAATATAGGCCACACTGTCCTGTCCCTACCAAACCCAAACAGAATAGGCCCTGTAACCACCCTTTAGCGCAAAGGTCAAACTTAACTCTCGTAAATGTATCCTGAATCCTTTATACTTGATTCTAGCCTCATTTTAGAGTCATAGGAGGCACTTAATTAAAACAATATGGACTGGGCTTGGTGGCTCACGCCTGTAATCCCAGCACTCTGGGAGGCCGAGGTTGGGAGTTTGACAACAGCCTGGCCAGTATCATGAAATCCCGTCTCTATTAAAAATACAAAAATTAGCTGGTCATGGTGGCGGGTACTAGTAATCCCAGCTACTCAGGAGGCTGAGGCAGGAGAATCACTTGAATCCAGAAGGTGGAGGTTCAAGTGAGCCAAGACTGCACCACTAGCCTGGGTGACAAAGCAAGACTCTGTCTCAAAAAAAAAAAAAAGGCCAGGTACAGTGGCTCACGCCTGTAATCCCAGAACTGTAAAAGGCCAAGTGGGAAGATAATGAGGTTAGGAGATCAAGACCATCCTGGCTAACGCGGTGAAATCCTGTCTCTTAACAAAAAAAAATTAAATTTAAGAAAAAAACAAAAAACATGCATGCTTCCACCTAGAACAATAAACAGAACCTGAGCCAAACTACAAACACAACAATAAACCTAAATAAGGCATCGAAAAGGGGTGAATCTGAATAGAACAAAAGCAGAGAGAGCAAACTATGTAGAATTCGGTCCTCTATTTCCTGTTTTGTTTTTCCTAAGTTTACCTACGACAACCTTTTTGAGTTTGCAAAATTTTAATCGTTTTTAGCAACTGCTTTGTCAATTTTATAACATATACAAATAAGCAATTTAAACAAATCCCTTAAAGTTTTCTAGGATAATGTTATTATTTTATAAGATAAATATTTATTCTAACAAGGTAAGATGAATAAACAACATAAACTCTTCTTTTTTTTGAGACAGAATCTCACTTTGTTGTCAGGTGCCAGGCTGGAATGCAGTGGCACAATCTTGGCTCACTGCAACCTCTGCCTCCTGGGTTCAAGCAATCCTCCTGCCTTAGCCTCCCAAGTAGCTGGGACTACAGGCGCACACCACCACGCCCAGCTAATTTTTATATTTTTAGTAGAGATGAGGTTTCACCATATTGGCCGGGACGGTCTCAATCTCTTGACCTTGTGATCTACCCACCTCGACCTCCCAAAGTGCTGGGATTACAGGCTTGAGCCGCACCTGGCCCAACTCTTTTGTCTGTAAACATTTCTTCAGGTAAGGATATCAGAAGTCACAACAATATAAAGTGGCCCAAATAAAGCCCAAGTGTTTTTGCACACATCTCCTCACTGTACCAACCACATGATGCTAAATTCAACCATTGTATCCAGTTGCTAGTCTAGACTAAAAACTCCTGGATGGTAGGGACCACGACTGCTGCATCTATTTTTCAAATGGCCATATGAAATGGTAGAAATGGCCGGGCGCGGTGGCTCACGCCTATAATCCCAGCACTTTGGGAGGCTGAGGCGGGTGGATCATGAGGTTAAGAGATCAAGACTATCCTGGTCAATGAGGTGAAACCCCATCTCTACTAAAAATACAAAAATTAGCTGGGCATGGTGGTGCGCACCTGTAGTCCCAGCTACTCGGGAGGCTGAAGAAGGAGAATTGCTTGAACCCAGAAGGCGGAGGTTGAGGTGAGCTGAGATCATGCCATTGCACTCCAGTCTGGGTAACAACAGCGAAACTGTCTCAAAAAAAAAAAAAAAAAAAAGAAATGGTAGAAACTAGTTTATCTGTCTGAGTCTCCAACCTCCTCTTTGGTTTTCACTCAAGTACAAGGAAACTAGAAAAACATCTCATCTGTCTACCAACCAAAGACATCTCTTATGTT